ATATTCTGTCTAGATTAGGAAATATTCTTTAAAATCTTCAATAAAAGATGAAAACTTGTTAAATGTATTAAAATCTATATAAATAATAGTAGGGAAAAGGTAATAAGATCTTCCTAAATAAGGTATTTGTATGCATGAAAGACTATAATTCTAATGGAAAAAAGGAATGTTTCATTTCTCGAATATATCAGTGAATATAGATAATATATGTTTTTGTTAATAAATAATATTTGAAGATTGATAGATTTATTTATCAATTGAAAAAATGTAAGAATATTTATTAATGATATTTATAGTTAATATGATGAAAGCGATTTGATTTAAAATGATAAATAAATAAATCGAAGTCGAAAAAAAAAAGATGGAATATTCTTTTATGAATTTAATATTTATAGTTGAATATTAAAGATATATTTATAATGAGGAAAAATCGATTTAGTTATTATTTAAATAAAAGTAATATTTGTTTTTATTTAGATTTATTTTAAAAACTAATTGAACGATATTGAAAAAGATTTTTGTTTTTCTTTTTTTTTGAATATTTTAAATAATTTATTATTCTATGATGTTTTTGCTTATTATTTAGTTAATATAATATATGAAAATAATAAAAATCTTCTATATAATAATTATTTAATTATTTATCATTAAATAATCATTTAAAATTGATTGAAATATTCTCTTTGGATATATATTTAATTATATAAAAAATAAAATGTTCTAGGATTATTTATAATAGTTAAATAAATATTATTCGAAAAATAAATGAAGAGTATTGTTTATCTCAAAGTATTATTCTATATTGTATATATAATAAAACAAATAACAACATCGATATATAAATATTTATGTTGAATTTGTTGTTTTAAATAATAAATGTTAACAATGAATTATCTTGTTAAATAATAAATTAGTAAATTATCTGACCATTGTTTAGTTTTGAAAAAAGAAAATAAAAATTTTGATTTGACTTATATTAATTAAGTTGAAAATAAATATATTCTCTTTGTTAAATAAGGTTATTAGTATTTTTTTATAAAGAATTCTTCATAAGACTTGTTTGTTTATTTTTAAGAATAAATTCATTCAAGCTATTCACTTTTTATCCTATTTCACTTTTATATTATTCATTAGGATTTTTAATTATTAGTCTTCTTTTTTTTTTCGTATTAATTAGCAATAGTTAATATTGAATATTTGATTAAAATAAGACTAATCTATAATTTAAAATGTATCTTGTCTAAAAAAAAACGAAAATTTCTCAATAATAGAAAAACTAAAATGATTTGAAATAAAATTAAATAAAATATTTATTTGAATATATATATATGATAAAATAATCAATTAAATAAATAGTTAAAGAAGAAAATCTTATTTAAATAAGTAAATATAATTAAGATAAATAAGCATTAAATCAAAGATAAATACAAAGAACATATATACATATATATACATACAATGGACAGTCAAAATCTTCGGAGAATTTTCAAAAAGTAGCGTGTCAGATTTTGTCATCTAATTAGAATTAATAAAGTAAACAACATCCCATGTTGTAGAGCAAGTCGAGGCACGTCCAATGGTATATTATAAATCTTGTTTAGAAAAGATTTTGAGAAAACGAGATTAGATTTCGTGGTGGACAGAGATGCATTCAAACACTCATCGACAGGCATTACCCATGAAAAACGATAGTCAATCATCGAAAAGTCGCATTTTTATTTATCAAAAATAGAATGATCGAAGATATTAAGTATATAATCTTGTAGGCCATGAAAAACTCTACAAAACTCAATATAGGAAAATTATTTTTAGAAATACTTTTGACGGATACCAAGATCCAAAATGGTCAGTAGTTTGAATGTATGACTACCTATCGATAAATCCAGTCGGGTTCCCTGAGAATTTTTTGAAAACAAGATTTATAATATACCATTGTACACGCCTCAACTTGCTCTACAATATGGTATGTTTCCTTTATTAAGTCTGAATAGGTAATCAAATCCGACACAATACTTTTTTTAAAATTCTCCGAATTTATTGTCTGTCTATAGTATATAATAAATATTGTTTAAATAAATGATTAAATTATTTTTGAAATCTAGTTGATTGATTTTGATTAGTTGATAATGGATGAATTTGATTTCGACCTGTAGAACTAATTTGTTGTTGTTGTTGTCGTTTACGTCGTAAATAATTAATAAATAAAATAATTTTTTCTTTTATTTCTGGTATAGCAAAAAAACATACTAATGGATTAATAAGTACAGCTATGTACATAATATTAATAAGAACCCAACTTGTTTGTAATTCAATAATAATTGCAGGTGGAGGATAATTAGTCATTGCAATTAATATAACTATTGTAACTGGTAACCAAACAATAACATGTAATATTGATACTGATAATAATTGAATAAGCATTCCAAGATTTTTTTTCCAAACATTTTTTTGTAACATTCGACGTTTTTGTTGAATAACTCGTATAATAAGAAAAGAATTAAAAAAAATAATACAAAATAATGGAGAAAAAACCGTAAAAACTAAATCAAATGTTCCAATTGATGGTTGTAATTGAAAACATGGTCCACCACATAATTGACTTGTATAATCAAATAATTCAATACATGGAACAAATAAAACTGTACCACATGAATAACATATTGCAAGTATAATTAATATTGTCATTGGTATATAATGTATTAACATTTTATGTCTAAAATATTATTTAATATAAATAATAACAACACTAATCGTTGTTTTTTATTTTATTTTATTTATTTACCGATTCAAAAAATTGTGATGAAATATTAATAAATATCTTTCAATTGATAAATGAGAATTAAGAAATAAAATTGATGTATTTAAACTGTAATTGAATGCAATCCAAAATTTACAAAAACTGTATGAATCAAATGATACATGACCATAACGAAGATATTCAAGTAAGAATGGCATTTCACATGTTGTCTATTTAATAGATTTTTTTAATTTTATCATTTTAATTAACAACTTTTTTTTATTTATAACTATTTTTTTTCTTTATCTTTTTTTCTTATTAATAAAATATAATAGGATTATTTACGAAATAAAATAATTCGTTTTATCATTATATTAAACAATTTTAATCTTATTAGAATTTCGAAATATATATTTATTATATTATTATTTAAACAGGATATTTTTCAATATTTTATACTTATTATTTTACTTATCTCATGTAAAAAACAAAAAAAAAATAGCCTAAAAATCTGATTTAAATTGATTTTTCGGAGAATAATCGGTCAAAATCGATTACTTTTAGAAAAATCAAAATAATCAAGTTTTTTCTAGAAAATCCGAAATAATCGGTTATTGTAAAAAAGAATATGAAAGGATTGCTGCTGATCTATATCGAGTAGAAATTTAGAGCATGACCCCTGTCCCACACACACACTCGAAACATGAGAAACAGAGTTTGTACTCGTCATGAGCCATGTTAAACAGGCTGAAGATTGAATGCAGATCGTAAGATTCGCCTTCAAAACACGCTCAGAAAGCATATATATATGGAACATTTAACTGGAATAGTTTTTGAGTCCTTTTTTGAAATTCTTCGGTCCAAGGTGAATAATGTCAAAGAAATGTGTCGTAATATCTATGAAAATCTCAGTTTGCATGAAGTCAATGAGAATGGGTGTTGGTTGTGCTTCACATATTATTTCTACAACGATTACGATAATTGCTTTTTCAAGGAACCAAAATTATCGATTAATACTCTAATCAATTTTAATCGATTAATCTCGCTGTTTAACAGATTTAAATGGATTTATCTGAGTTTTAATCGATTAATATGGATTTTAATCAATCGTAGTCAATTATTTTAGGTTTTAATCGATTACTTATGTAATTGCGCAATCTTAATTGATTCAATTTATATAGGAGTTCCAATTGTAGTATATATGTCAGATACTAGCTTGGCGACAGCCTAACGATTTCTTTCCACGAAGAATCCAAAAGTTCATAGGAAAAGTAGAGTTTCGCGTTCGAATCTCGGTAGAAGCGCCTATTTTTGAGGCATATGATTAAAATCGATTATCTAGTAAGTAAAGATTAAAATCAGAAAACAGATAAAGATGGATTAAAATCGAAAAACAGATAAGCATAGATTAAAATCGGGAAAAAATTAATGGCGGATTAAAATTAGAAAACAGGTAAGGATAGATTAAAATGTATTAGGAAGCAATAAGAGATGAAAATTGACTGAAAGACAGGCCATGCCAAGAACTGGGAGCAACTCGAGTTTAATTGATTTTGATAAATTTTTTAGATATAATCGATTTTTTTCGGATTAATAATCGATTAAAATGGCACGGTTTTAATCCGATTTTTAATCATAAAAATCGATTATGCAGGAGAAAATCGGACGAAATCGATTTTTATGATTAAAAATCGGATTAAAATCATGCTATTTTAATCGATTATTAATCCGAAAAAAATCGATTAAAATCTGACTTTTTTTGTCAATTCTTTTTTAACATGGAATTTGAATTAAATTTAAAAACTAAAACTATTCATATTCATTTTTTGTTTTATTCAATGAATTAATTCTAAATAATTATTTAATTAATTTAAATAAATTTATTATAAATAAAATTTCTCATTTATTAACTTCTATGAAAAAAAAGAAAATAATCGTTTCTCTTGTCAGAAAAACTAATCAAAAAAACAAGAGGTTTTATTTAGTGTAAAATAGAAAAAAAGAATAAATGATAATGAATATAAGAATTACCTGAATAAAACTAATAATGAATATGGCCAAAATAATATGATTAGTGAGACGATTTCGTAAATCTGAGATTCTATATATCCAATAGAATATATATAAAGAAAATAATATTGATGGAATAAGTAATGCACTCAATAATATTAAACATATATATCGACTTAAACCGATGTTAATAAACGATTCTGATGATGATTGTTCATCAATGCTAGTGTTTGATATATTATCCATTTATCTATAAATAAACAAAACAAAACAGAAGAAAATATATTTTATTTTATTTTTCTTATCTGTTTCATGAATTAATTAAATAAATGAAATAATTTACATTTAAAATTAGATAAATATAATCGATTAATCTTGTCGATTTTATTTTCAACGAAGGATTTATTTATTATTGTTATTTAATTAAATTTTAAAAGGATAATTAAAACGATATTTTTTTTGTTTTGTTTCAATGCGATAAAACATTTGTTTAAATATAAAAACGAAAACATTTTCAAATTCTATTTAAAATATTTCTATAATATAGATATGTTAAAACAATAATTATATTCGTTTTTAAGATTTATTCGAAAAAGTAAGGAGAACAATAAAAAAGAAAAATTAATTAATTAATTTTGTTATATTAAAAAACAAAAACCAAAAAGAAATTATTTTTATTTTATTGTCATTTGAAATAAAACATAGATATAGATATTATTTTCTAAATGAATATATCTAGTTATCGATAGAAAAACATGATTAATTATCTTATATATAAATCTATAGATATTTATATATCATATTCTATTATCATTTATTTATTCAATTTCATTATTTTTAATGCATTTATCACTTTTAATTAACAATTTATCTTATTTAATAGAATTATATTAGAAATCAACATTTTTATTTTCATTTTGTTTAGTTTTTATTTAACAAAAAAAGAAATGTTTTTTGTTTTTTGTTTCAAAAAATAGAATATAGCTAATTCTCATCTCGATATAAAATATTGTTTATCATTTTTCAGCTCAAATGATCATCAATAGACTAGATTTGGCATTTTCATTTTTAAATTGACGAAAACAAAAAAAAAACAAATCTATTGATTAATCATTTATTATAGATGTTTATAATAAAATAGCTTACATTTTAATTTAATCCTTACACTTTAACAATAGAAAAT